CACCTGGGCAACTTGGCGAGACCTCATCTCTACAATAAATAAAAAATTAGCCAGGCATGGCAGCACGCACCTGTAGTTCCAGCTGCTTGGAAGACAGGTGGAAGGATCTCCGGAGCCCAGCAGGTCGAGGCTGTGGTGGCCGGGAGCAGCCACTGCACTCCAGTCTGGGCGACAGAGTGAGACTCCAACTCAAAAAAGAGAAAATAGTTTTAACCCGTTTCTACCTACCTAACCATGACCAGCTAAGTGACAGTTGGAGATGTGAGAACAAGAACTGAAGTAACCCACCTTTCCCGAGACTTTCTTGTCTGAATGCTGACAAGGAGTCCAGTGTTTTAATTCATGACAAGTTTCAGAGATGCTAGGACAAGCATGCAAATGGCTCCTCTTCGAGTGGGGGAAGTGAAGAGTTTGAAGGCTCCAAAGAATTGCAAAAGAAACTGCATTCCCTTAAACGGGCAATAAGATGCTACTTGCTAAAATTGGATATGGGTGATTATGAACCTATCATCTATCTACAACTCCATGCTCTGCTGCTGACTACTTTTAATCATGGCCATATAGTTCAGAGGCAAAATGATCTCCAAAGCAGTCTAAGTCCCAGTTTAACAAGGAATATAGTATAAAAGCCTTTTATAATGAATTCTCCAAAATCTAGTTCTTTGAAACCAAATCCTTTGAAATCTAATTTCTGGGACTTCTAGGCTTTTAGATTTAATATATTTATTTATCTCTCTGACTTCAATAAATTGTTAAATAACTTCAAAGTTTTTACCAAATTTATCTTTTAAAAAAAAAAGCGCTTGATAATTAGCCCAGGGCACCAAACTTCCAATTGTTCTTACCCATGATAAACACAAGCTAAGAACACAGCAAGGCAAATAAGATTTCCTTATCTCATTTCTCCTTATCTTCTACAATAACTTAAAGATCCCGGGGCCCTGAGAAACGAGTTACCTGTGTAAAATGAACTTACACTATTCCCCAGAGTTGTGAGTCTACTGGGAAATCAGAGTTTGGAGAAGAGCAGGGGGAAACAAATAGGAACGGGAAGAGAGTAAAGAGAGTGAGTGTCTCAGTCTCCTCCCCCAACCCTTTTTAAACATATACATACACATATAAACTGCATATTGTATAGGTAAAGTAAGAGAGAAACAGGACAAACTTTTCTGATGTCTACCATCAGAAAAAAAATCTAACAAACTGGAATTTTTTTCTTTATCAAAAAAATTGTTATGACTTAAGACCAATGGCCCTACAGGGATTGTAAATAAGTCATTTGCTACTGGGGCTGAGACTAACAGCTGTCCCCTAATAACCATTCTCTCATTTTTCATTTAATAAAACACTTAATTGTTAGTTGGGCTCATGGCCAGCACCCTGCTTAAGATTATATTTAGCAACCGCCCTCATAGTTGAATGCAACCACGTGGCTAAGTTGTGGCCAACTGCATATGAGGAGAAACACTCTGTGCAACTTCTGGGTAGGGGGCCTTAAAGGATAGGATGTGCCCTTTTCTTCCTCTTCTCCACTTCCTGATGGCTGAAATGCAGATGTGACAACAGAGGCTGGACTAGCCATTATATACCACAGGTATGAGAGCTGAAACAAGAGCATTGCCTTGTTCAAACTCAGCAAGGAAAGTGTACTTGAAAGCCTCAAATTTTTCACAGATCTACAAGTTTGCAAAAGCCCCAGAGGTACTGATTTTGGAGTTCTGAATAAATTCTATTAAGTGGGCAAATTCACAAATATGGAATCCGTGAATAATGAAGATTGCCTTCACATAATAAGTCGGGTTGTTCACTGCCCAGCTTTTTGTGCCCAAAATATCCCACCAATTTTCACATTAATTTCCTTTTTCTCCCAGACTTCCTAATTTTTCTTCAGTAAGCACAGAACTATTTGCCTGTTTGTTTGTATGTTTGTTTTTTTGGGCACATCTAATATAATATTGGCGTCAATTATGTCTTAGAGAAGAAAGATGAAGTGACAGAGAGTGTTTGTCCTAAGTTTTGTGACTGTGAGAAAACTGGTAACATGCCAGGTGCAGTGGCTCATGCCTGTAACCAGCACTTTGGGAGGCCGAGGTAAGAGACTACCTGAGCCCAGGGGTTCAAGACCAGCCTGGGCAACTTGGTGAAACTTCGTCTCTACAATTAATTTTAAAAATTAGCCTGTAGTTCCAGCTACTTGGAAGGCTGAGGAGGAAGGATCACCTGAGCCCAGCAGGTCCAGGCTGTGGTGGCTGTGGTGCTACTGCACTCCGGCCTGGGCGACAAAATGAAACTCCAACTCAAAAAATAAAAAAAAATTTTAAAAGCTGGTAATAATTTAGTCATACACAGAATGATACAGCAGATCAGAAATAATGTTTGCTGCTGTCTTAACATTTAATTCAGACAAGCCTCTGACTGCTTAAGACAGAAGTTTTGTTTGGATTGCTGGTAATATTATCATATCTTGCTGGTACAAGGTAAGAAAATGAAATGATATTTTCAGAATCAGCACCAATTTAGAAAGAAAAGATGGTATGTGAAGTGCCTGTTCTCAAAATGTGAGAGTGCTTCCCAGCATCTTTGTGTGATCTCTGAGATCACACAAAATCAATTACCACTAAAAAATAAACTATACTTGAAAATTAAAATTTTTCTCCCAGCTAATGTAATAAGAAGTTATTTTGATTTACATAATACTGCATCATTTCATTGTATACAATACAAAAGAAAATCTTTTTTTTTTTTTTTTTTTTTGAGTTGGAGTCTCACTCCATTGCCCAGGCTGGAGTGCAGTGGCACACTCACAGCCACCCAGCATTGACCTACTGGGCTCTGGCAATCCATCTGCCTCAGCTTCCAAGTAGCCAGAACTACAGGCATGTGCTACCACACCTGGCTACTTTTTTTTTTTTTGGTAGAGATGAGATTTCACCAAGTTGTCTGGGCTGGTCTCGAACCTGTAGGCTCAGGCAATCCACGCCTTGGCCCCCCCAAAGTGCTGGGATTACAGGCTGAGCCACCGAACCTGGCCTACAAAAGAAAATCTTAATTTTACATTTGTAGAAAATCAACAGCTCACAATATATGAAAATTATAACTTGGCCAGGCGTGGTGGCTCACGCCTGTAATCTCAACAGTTAGAGAGGCCGAGGCAAGAGTAAATTACTTGAGTCCAGGAGTTTGAGATAAGCCTAGGCAACATAGTGAGACCTCATCTCTACAAAAAAATCAAAAAATTAGGCAGGTATAGTAGTATATGTCTGTAGTCCCAGCTACTCAGAAGGCTGAGGCGGAGGATCACTTGAGCCCAGGAGTTCAAGGCTGCAGTGAGCCATGATCATGCCACTACACTCCAGCCTGAGGGAGAGTAAGACTCTGACTCAAAAAAATAAAACTTATATTCACTATAAATATTAAGTGAATCCAAAAGGATGACATTAGTGACTTGGGTTATAAAGAAATACAGCATGATGAGAAACAGGTTGCCAGGCACACTAGTCAATTTCAAGCAGACTGACCATGCCCTTCAGCAATGCTACAATTAAATTCAAACTCACTTACCTACTGTGTCTACTCCTTTCCTGCCAGCACGACCAACCATCTGCTTATAAGTAAGAATATCTAGAGGCTGACCACTGAAAATAGGAGTCCGAATAATCACACGACGTGCAGGTAAATTCACCCCAGAAGAAAGAGTAGAAGTTGCTGCCAAGACCCGAATGAGACCTTGACGGAAAGCTCCTTCAATAATATCCCTCTCCTCAAAAGTAAGACCTAAAAAAAAAGGAGCAGAGGGTTCCTATAAGACATACTTATTAACATATGACAATATTGTACTTGATTACTTACAAATGAATCTGAGCGTCTACTACAAGCCTCTAAAAGATGTTTTTTTAGAAAGCAGGATTTATTAAAAGGACAGAAAAGCTCCCACAGTAGGAGGGGACCCAAAGGGGTTGTTTTGTAAACTTTTGTTATGACTGCTAACAAAGGAGTCATCGCAGTCTAACTATTTAAGAGTATAAACTGCTACTTCTAGTATACTTCTATCTCATCTTCTAGACCAGGAGTCAGCAAACTTATCCCCTTCCTGTGAAATTGAAGGTCTCTGATACAACTACTCAACCTTGCTACTTGACATGAAAGCAGTCACAGAATAAATGGGCGCATGACTGTGTTTCAATAAAACTTTATTTTAAAAAATAGGCTAGATTTGACCAGCAGACTATACTTGGCCAATCCCTAATGTAGATCATGAACTCCTGCAGGTAAGGATATGCTTTATTCATCAAGGTATCTTCAGGACCTAGCCATCACAGTGGTCAAGCATATTTTTTACATAAATATCTGGTGAACAAGTACATGAGTAAATAAATTAAAAATAGCATATAGGATATATACTTAGGCTTATTTTTAATTTTATTTAAAAATTAAAATGATTGGGGCTCAAGTTTGTAAATTTAAGTGGTGGTACACAGGTGTTCATTTTTTTAGTATGCATCATAATTTATATACATTGTAAATATTTGTGTGGATAAGTCCCCCCTAATCTGTGGCTTCACTTTCCATGGTTTGCCCAGTCAATCGTGGTCCAAACTTAAGTGAAAAATTCCAGAAATAAGCAATTCACAAGCTTTAAATTGTGCCCTGCTGAGTAGTATAACAAAACCTCATACCATTCTGCTCCATCCCACCAGGGACTTGAATCAGCCCTTTATCTAGCATATCTATGCTGTATATGCTACCTGCCTATTAGTCAGTCAGTAGCCATCTTGTCAGATCAACTGTTGGAGTATCACAATACTTGTGCTCAAGTAACTCTTATTTTACTTAATGAAGGCCTCAAAGTGCAAGAGTAGTGATGCTGGCATATTGTTCTAATTCTTATTTTTAATTATTATTTATTGTTGCTCATCTTTTACTGTGCCTAATTAATAAATCAAGTTTTATCACAGGTATGGATGTATAGGAAACAACATTGTTATACATATATATATGTATAACATACACATACATATACACAATGGGGTCAAGTATTACCCTTGGTTTCAAGCATCCACTGAGGGCCTTGGAACATATCTCTCATGGAGAAGGGAGAATATTGTATACAGATAAGTAAACTTAAACATGTTGTTTTAGTCTTTTAACCTAATCACACAATTTCTTAAAATGAAGCCCAAGAATACTGCATGTGGTTAACAAGTAGTGAATGAATACAAATATAAAAATGAAGATAGTATGAGGATTTTTGGAGAGGGCTTCTAGACAACAGATCACAAATATGAAATACCTGCATGATGAAATGCTACTCCCCATGGTATAGTTTTCTGTAATACAGAGTCCAGTCCTGAAGGCAAATGTCTTAACTGATTCATTACTTCCAAGAGGTCTTTTTGTTCCAGAATTACTGGTGGGAGTTCAGATGGTTTTACCAATCCTGTCACACACACAAAAAAGTTATGAACACCATTCACCTGTAGCTCAGTCACTCTTATGCCATCTGCCTAAATCACGATAGAGCTTAATACCAGGGCAATGGTTCAGAAACTGCTTCACGCTATAATCACCTGGAATTCTTTTAAAAATACTGATACCTGGCTTACACCCCTAGATATTGTGACATAATTGCTGCTACGCGTGACCTAGGCATGAAGAATTTTTCAATTTTCCCAGGTGATTCAAATGTGCACCAAAATTTAGAAAACCCTATATTAGGGTGAGATGAAGCCCACAGGAGGAAATCAAAGGAAACTACTGAAGGAAAGAGAGTACTAGATACAGACTACCACTCAATGCTAAAAATCAAAACCCTTCCTAAAGGTATGTCTCACCAACCAGCAGTACCAGCATCACCTAGGGGCCTAGTTCTCTGTGAAAATTATTCTAGATTCTTTGGCACTAATTTGATAATTAATTAAACACTACCCTCTGAGCTTTGCCCAAGTGTGTAAACTTCTCCCCTAGTAAGATCTTAACTTTCTTATATGCAAGAACTAAGGAATTTTCTAAAGGAATTTCCCAGACTTTTGGATTTTTGAACTTGTAAAACTTTTTCTTTTTTCTTTTTTGAGTTGGAGTTTCAGATCCTTCCGCCTCAGCCTTCCAAGTAGCTGGAAGTACAGGCACATACTACCATGCCAGGCTAATTTTTTTATTTATTGTGGAGATGAGATCTCGCCAAGTTGCCCAGGCTGGGCTCGAACTCGTGGGCTCAGGCAATCCTCTCACCTCAGCCTCCCAAAGTGCTGGGATTATAGGCATGAGCCACCATGCCCAGCCATTGTAAAACTTCTTCATTAAAGAAAAGTTCTGCAATTATTATGTCAATTAAATACATATATTTTAACATATAGCTCAATTTTATATATTTTTTAATTTTTAGGTAAACTTTTCTTAGAATGTTGAAGGCCCACAGAAAGTTGTCAACATTTTATTTTGCTAAGGACAATTAAAGTTTGATTTTAAACTACCATCTATCAATAACTTTATTTCAAAAGAAGAAACTTAACTTTTAAAAAAAATAGTAGGGATAATTTCAGAATTTAAGCATCAGCCTTATAAAAAATGTGCTACTATGTCCTTATTTTTATGTTGAAAATTTCATCATAGACAGGCTCCAGTCTAAGCACTAACATTTGGGAATCACTGCTACAAATCAAGATAACAAAAACTCATGGAAAGAAAATAATGATTCTGGTAATTAAAAAATATAAGTTACCCATAGTACAATATAAGGAATATAAGTTAACATAGTACGGAAAGCATCAATTAAGAGGGAATTGGAAGAGACAATACATGGTTGGACCAGAGCCTGGCATACACTTCAGGCAAAGCTTACTTGTTGGAGCTAGGTTTGAGATATCTACCACCTATACTCATAATGCCACTGGCATAATGAATTAATAAAATATCCTAATATTCTGTGACTAATATTCTCTGTCTTCCCTGTATTTATCTTGAACTCCAAAGGACCAAAGGCTAGTAAAAATGAATAGTATTCCTCCTAGAATCAGTAAAAATGTATACTATATATTATTTATTAGTATATACTAAATCACTATTTATTATATATTAGTATCCACTAAATCACTATATAGCAATAAAAAAAGGAACAAATGTTAAATGTAGCAACCTAGATGAACATTAAAAACACCATGCTGAGTGAAAGAAGCCAGATACAAAAGACAGGTACATACTATATGACTTCATTTACATGAAATTCTTTGAAAAGGCACCAGTCATCTAAAGTGACAGAAAGCAGATTAATGGTTGCCTAGGGCTGGGAAGAGTGGGAGGAGAAGGACAGCAAAGGAGGGGAGAACATTTTAGGGTGATGGAAATGTTCTATATGTCAATTATAGTATGGTTAAACAGATGCATAAATCTGTTAAAATGTACCAGAGGAATTCAAGACCAGCCTGGGCAACACACTGAGACTCCCATTTCTACAAAAAATTTAAAAAGTAGCTGGGCATGGTGGCTCTCGCCTATAATCCTAGCATTTTGGGAGGCTGAGATGGTAGGATCACTTGAGGCCAAGCATTTGAGACTAACCTGAGCAACACAGTGAGACGCTGTCTCTATAAAGAAAATTTTTTAACTAGCCAGGTTTGATGGCCCACCTGTAATTCCAACTACCTGAAGGCTGAGGTGGGAGAATCACTTGAGCCCACAAGCTCAAAGTTGCAGTGAGCTATAGTTAAGCTACAGAGAGCTACAGGCACTCCAGCCTGGGCAATAAAGACACTTGTCTCTCAAAAGCAAAACAAAATTCATCAAATTATACACTAAAAATGGGTATATTTTCTTATATAGAAATTACATTTCAAAAAATCTGATTTTAAACTATATATGTATATATACATATGTATATAAGAGTGTGTGTGTGTGTGTGTGTATACATACAGTTGACCCCTGAACAATACAGGGGTTGGGGCACCAATCCCCAAGCAGTCAAAAATGCACATATAACTTTTGACTCCCCAAAAGCTTAACTACTAATAGCCTACTGTTGACGAGAAGACTAATTGATAACAAAGTTGATTAGCATATTTTTTGTTATATGTATGACATGTTGTATTCTTAAAGCTAGAGAAAAGAAAATGTTAAGAAAATCATAAGGAGCCGGGTTTGATGGCTCAGCCTATAACCCCACGCTTTGGGAGGCTGAGGTGAGTGGAGTGCCTGAGCCCGCGAGTTCGAGAACCGCCTGGGCAACTTGGCGAGACCTCACCTCTACAATAAATCAAACAATTAGCCGGGCATGGTAGTGCGCGCCTGTAGTTCCAGCTACTTGGAAGGCTGAGACAGAAGGATCTATCTCCGGAGCCCAGCAGGTCGAGGCTGTGGTGGCCGGGAGCAGCCACTGCACTCCAGTCTAGGCAACACAGTGAGACTCCAACTCAAAAAAAAAAAGAAAAGAAAATCATAAGGAAGATAAAATATATTTACTATTCATTAAATGGAAGTGGATCATCATAAAGGTCTTCATCCTCTTCATTTCATACAGAATAGGCTAAAGAAGAGGAGGAAGAGGAAGGGTTGGTCTTACTGTTTTGGGAAGGAGAGGCTGAAGAGCTGGCAGAAAAGGCAGGCATACTCAGTGTAACTGTATACAAATACACCTTAATTTCTGACTTTCTGCATTTTCATTTCTCAAAATATGTTTACATATGGTACCAATTCTTCTTCCAAAGTTTGCTGTAGTTTCAGTGCCTGTATCATAGAACGGTCCATGTCATAAAATAAGCCAAAAGCAATCTTAAATAATCAGAAATCTTCTGCCAGATTGTTTCATTTCAATTTGTTTTCTGGCACTGCCTCTTCTATGTCTTCTTCCTCATGGTCTGGCACTGGTTTGGAAGCACTCCTTTCTATCTAGTTATCTCCTGTTAATTCCTCCGGTGTAGTGTCTACTGGCCTTTGCCTCCCTCCGATCTATTTCTTGAAACTCTTCTTCCCTACTTTTTTTGCCATATTCAGAATCTCTTTCATGATTTTCTGGGTTGGCTTGCTGTCATAAATCCTGTGAAGTCACACACAACATCTGGACATGGTTTTCTACAGCAGGAATGTATTGTTTCAGGTTTGATGGCTTTCACAGCTTTTTCTGTAACAACAGCATCTTCAATGGTGTAACCCTTCGAGACTTTCATTATATTCTCTCAATCAGGGCTCTCTTCCAGTACAGACAATTCTTTATTCCATAGAGTACTGTGTGTAATGAGCCTTAAAAGTCCTATGACCTCCTGATCTGGAGGCTGAATTGGACACATTGTTTTGGGGGCAAGTAGACCACTTTAATGCCTTAAGTATTGAACTCATGGGGTTCTGGGTGGCCAGGGACATTCTCCAGTATCATAGGGGTCCCCAGCCCCCAGGAGCATGGACTGCTACCAGTCCATGGCCTGTTGGCTACACAGCAGGAGGTGAACAGCAGGTGAGCTAGGGAAACTTCATTTGTATTTACAGTCGCTTCCCATTGCTCACATTACTGCCTGAGCTCCACCTCCTGTCAGATCAGCAGCCGCATTAGATTCTTATAGGACTGCGAACTCTATTGTGAACTGTGCATGTGAGGAATCTAGGTTGCGTGCTCCTTATGAGAATCTAATGCCTGATGACCTGAAGTAGAGCCGAGGTAGTGATGCTAGTGCTGGGGAGTGACTGCAAATAAGATTTACATGAGCAGTGAGGTTTGACTGCACACCAGAGGCCATAATAAATCAATTGCTTGCAGACTCTTATTAGTGAGTGGAAGTGAGTTGATGTACTTCAATTGTACAGCTGCATCTGGTGGCAGGCTTTAAGTCAGAATCTGACACTTATTTTAGTCTGCCTGTGGCCTACCCATTATTTTATTTACCACTTCCATCCAAGACTCTTTTTTTTTCTTATGGTAAATGTATAATTATTTCATTACATATTACAATGTAATAATAGAAATAAAGTGCACAATAAACACTATGGCTTGAATCATCCTGAAACCATCCCCCCAACACCCCATCACTATCTTCCATGAAACCGGTCCCTGATGCCAAAAAGTTTGGGGATCATTGCAGTATCAAAAAAACTGTAAAAATCAGGCTGTTACTGGCAAAGTACTTCCTAACTTGTGGGACAAAATATTAATGAGACCATTTCAGAAAAGGGGTCTTGCTGTCTAGGCCTTGTTGCATAATCAAAAGACTGGCAACTGATATTTATCTTTTCCCTTCAGAGCTCGGGGATTAGCTGCTTTATAGATAAGGGCAGTTCTGATCATAAACCTGACTGCATTTGCACAAAACAGAAGAGTTAACCTATCCCTTTCTGCCTTAAATCTCTTCCTTAAATGTCCTTTGTGGCATTTTTTTCCCAGAGTAAGGCAGTTTTCTCTGCATTAAAAATCTATTCAGGCAGATAAACTTTCTTCTCAATGATTTTCTTAGTGGCATTTAGGAACTTGTCTGCTGCCTCCTGGTCAGCAGTCATTTTTTAATGCCAAATCTCTTTTTTAAATTATCAAACTATCTTTTCCTGGCATAAAATTCTCCAGTTTTAGATCCTGCATCTTCTTCATCTTCCTGTTTAAGTTGTCATATAATGACTTTGCTTTTATTTCAACTCATGTTAGTCTACAGGTATGCCTTTCATATAGCAATCCTGTATTCACATAAAAGCTGCATTTCAAAACAAGATAAAAAGGTATTTCACAAAAGTGCAAGTTTTTCACACCTGCTGGCATAGCTGCAGTCACAGCTTTACAAATTTTTTTTCTTTTCTTTTTTTTAAACAATGGTCCTTAGGCTGGATTCATTTATCTTGAAAATGGCGAGCAACCCTCAGCTGCAGACCTAAATATACAATACATATCCAGCAATTCAGATTTTTCTTATAATGTCATAATTTTTCTCTGACACTTCCAGCATCACTGGTGGATGGATTCCATGCTGTTATTCAAGGTTTAGGGTATTACACTAAATGTGATTGAAAATATGTGAGAATCATAAGAGATCGTTTTTTACTGCAATATGCAATTAACTGGCGAGACAAACTGCTCATACAAAGATGATTAGCATCACACGCTTTAAGTAGATACTCACAACACATGAGCTCACCACAATAGCACAGGAGGTAGCTATGAAATTATGGTACAGTATAGACTACAGTTAATGTTATGCTGTTATGATTTTAATACTGCATCTTTAGGTTTGTCTACATTTCACTCAACTGCAAATAGCACCATGTCTAGTGTTTTTATGTGTAAGTTTTTATAATTTAAACATTCTATAAAATATTTGTGGATATTTTCTGGTAGTAAATAGTAAAATAGACTAGTAGCTACATATTTTATACATTCATGACTTATCTTTTTCTTTTTTCTAAGCTCTGTTAGACTTGACCCAACATTTTCTTAATTTTTTCTGATATTTCTAGGCTACACAGTTTATTTGTGAGTTTTATCAAATTGTCATGAATTTTCAAAACATTTTCCAATATGTTTAATGAAAAACAATTCACATATAAGTGGGCCCATACAGTTCAAATCCTTGTTGTTCAAAGGTCAACTTATACAAATATATATGTATGGGTTATTCTTTTTAGGGTCATGTCTTCACTTGGAAATAAAAAGATCTGGCCACTTTCCCCAGAAAACTAGGTATATGTAAAGTTTTGCATACAATTTAGGGGCTCCAAAAATCAAACTCCCATAGCCCACAGAACCCAGATGAAGAACCCTGGTACACGTGCAGTATTCTAAAAATCTGAAGCTGGTGAGCCTGAATGTGTGTATGTGAATACACTGTCTGTAATAAAGACAAGCTAGAGTTAGAATCAGAAAAGCATAGTTTTGTAAAAAGAATACCTAATGAACAGATAGTGGCAATGATGAAAGAGAACCATGTTTTGCGGGCCGGGAGCAGTGACTCAAGCCTGTAATCCCAGCACTTTGGGAGGCCAAAGCAAGAGGATTGCCTGAGCCCGCAGGTTCAAGACCAGCCTGGGCAACATGGTGAGACCTCGTATCTACAATAAATCAAAAAAACCAGCCAGGCGTGGCAGCACACGCCTGTAGTTCCGGCTACTTGGAAGGATCACCAGAGCCCAGCAGGTCGACACTGGGGTGGCCACGAGCATGCCACTGCACTCCAGCCTGGGTGATGGAGTGAGACTCCAACTCAAAAAAAAAAAAGAAAAGAAAGGCTGAGGCGGAAGGATCACCTGAGCCCAGTAGGTCAAGGCTGCTAAGGCCATGAGCATGCCACTGCACTTCAGCCTGGGCAACAGAGTGAGACTCAACTACAAAAAACAAAGAGAACCATGTTTTGCTAATATAATCACTAACATTATTTTCAGACAAATGTACTAAGTATGGAGTTTTTCATTTCCATCCATAACTCACCTTCAGCCTGATGGTGTAGATTATAAAACTCTCGGGCAATAATATCAGCCAACTTCTCACACCATTTCTTTGATGGACAAAAAAGTAATACTGAATGGTTATCACAAATGGTCTCATAACATAAACTAACAACATGGTCCTCATCTCCCTAAAAAGGAAAGAGAAATAGTCACTCTAGTGGTACTTTCAAAACATTTTCACATCAGTTTAAAATTGCTCATTTTGCTTTATGGGAAAGCTTTTTCTATCAAAGGCATAATAATAGTCAGTTACAAAGTCAGTAACAAAACAAAGACAAGACAAAACAAGAAAAAAATAAACACACTTACAATACAAGGTTATAAGGAAATATATTCTATTCATTCAACAAATATAGAGCTCCAATCATCTGGCAATGGGGATATGATGGCGAGCAAAAGAAATTTAAGATCCTAATAGCCAAGGGGTTTAGTTTCACCAAGGGACATGTTAAAATATATACAGCTCCCAACTTATAATTTTTTGACTTTACAATGGTGTAAAAGCAATATGCGTTTGGTAAAAACCATGTCTTGAATACCCTTACAACCACTGTTTTTTGCTTTCAGTACAATATTTAATAAATTACATGAGATAAACTCTTTACTATAAAATAGGCTCTGTGTTAGATGATTAGATGATTTTACCCAACTATAGGCTAACATAAGTGTTCTGAGTACATTTAAGGTAAGTTAGATTAGCTATGATGTTCAGGTTAGGTGCATTAAATGCTTTTTTTTTTTTTTTTGAGTTGAAGTCTCACTCTGTCACCCAGCCTGGAGTGCAGTGTCATGCTCATGGCCACCACAGCCTGGACCTGCTGGATTCAGGCAATCCTTGCACCTCAGCCTTCCAAGTAGCTGGAACCACAGGCACATGCCACGACACCCAGCTAATTTTTTGATTTATTGTGGAGATGAGGTCTCGCCAAGTTGCCGAGACTGGTCTCATACCCCTGGACTCAGGCAATCCTCTCACCTTTGCCTCCCAAAGTGCTAGGATTACAGGCATGAGCCACCATGCCCAGTGGCTCAACTTACAATATTTTCAACTTAAAAATAGGTTTATTGGGACATAACCCTATCGTATATTGAGAAACATCTGTACTAAACAAATAAATGTAAAATACAACCATAAGATGTACTATAAAAGAGAGTTTTTTAGTATTTTGAGGCCTCGTATTTGAAAGAAAGATCTGAAAGAAAGATTGCCCTGAGAAAATAATTTAGTTGAGATGTGAAGGAGGGGAGGCATTATCTCAATGAAAGTTAACATTTCAAACAGAAAAAAGAGCATGTGTGAATACCCTGTGGTGGTCCTGCACTTCTCCATACTGGAAATATGTCAATGTGTGTAACTAGATTAATTAACTCATCCATCCATTCACTCATTAAATAAATACTTACTATGTGTCAGATATTGTGCTACGTACTAGGGATAGCGCAGCAAACAAAACAGAAAAAAAGTTCTACCCTCATAATGTTTCTACTCCAATAGGGAGAGACAGATAATAACAAAAACAAGGTAAGTAAAACACATAGTATTTTTTACTTTGAAAAGTGCTGCCAGGCACAGCGGCTCATGCCTGTAATCCCAGCACTTTGGTAGGTGGAAGCAAGAGGATTGCCTGAACCAAGGGTTCAAGACCAGTCTGGGCAACTTGGCAAGACCTCATCTCTATAGTAAATCAAAAAATTAGCCAGGTGTGGTAGCTCATGCCAGTAGTTCCATCTACTAGGAAGGCTGAAGCGGATCACCTGAACCCAGCAGGCAGAGGCTGCAGTGGCCAAGAATGTGCCACTGCACTCTAGCCTGGACAACAGAGTGAGACAAAAAAAATAAAAGAAAAGTGCTAAGCAGAAAAAAAAAGAAAATGAAAAATACAGACCACACAAGAGAGAATACTGTAATTTAGATAAGGTGGTCAGGGAAGGTCTAAGAAACTTACATTTGAGTAAACATCCAAACATGAAAGAGTAAACCACACTGATGCCTAGGTGGAAAGCATTCCAAACAAAGAGAACCTGAGATGGGAGATTCATGGGTACCTTAAAGAATGGCAAAGAGGGCAGGTAAGAGGGTGAGAGGGGATAGAATAGGGAGGATCAGAGCAAAGGTGGGCTGGGGTGCAGATCAGGACCTTATAGGCTACTATGAAGGTTTTTACTCTAAATGAAATAGAGAGCAGTTGCAATTTTTTGAGCAGAAGGGCAACATGATCTGATATTCATTTTAAATAGATCACAAGCTCCTGATTTAAGCATAGGTGGAAAAGGACAAGGTCAGAAGCAGAAAGAACAATTAGGAAGCAGAAGCTATTTCAATAATCCAGGTATGAAGTGAGAGTGGTTCAAATAGGGTAGAGGCATAGACATGGTAATAGAAGAGAAAGATTAACAAGACAGTAAATGAATTTATTTACATATATATGTACTGAAGAAACCAAGCCACAGCCAGGAGAAATATGGGGCACAGAGCAAAGCAACTGAGTAAGATTCCATACTAAGCATGCAGAGGCTACAAATGTATGCCTATAAAGATAGTGAAATACATAAATCTAGTCCTATTCTCAACTCTAAAATGACCCTTAGCTATTTTACCACTCAGAGAAACAATTCTGCATAAAAACAGAAGATGCCTCACTCCATAGATGTACGTGAATCAGCTCTTTAACCATAAGATTAAAGAATCAGGCTTAGCCAGGCTCGGTGGCTCAGCCTGTAATCCTGCGCCTTTGGGAGGCTGAGGTGGGTGGACTGCCTGAGCCCGCGGGTTCGAGACCCGCTTGGGCAGCGAGACCTCAACTCTACAATAAATAAAAAAAAAACAGCCGGGCGTGGTAGCGCATGCCTGTAATTCCAGCTACTTGGAAGGCTGAGGTAGAAGGATCACCGGAGCCCAGCAGGTCGAGGCTGCGGTGGCCGGGAGCGGCCACTGCACTCCACTCTGGGCGACAGAGTGAGACTCCAACTCAAAAAAAAAAGAATCAGGCTTAGAAAATAGTCGACTAAAAATGTTTATAGTATATAGTAGTATGAGAGGGTGCTTATCATTTATCAAACACTTTGTAGATGCCAATATGATTTTTTAAAATTATATTTCATTCTTATAACAATACTAAAGATTAGTATTACATCCTATTTTATAGATGAAGATACTAGGTTCAGAGAGGTTTTGTGATTCAACTAATATTTTAACCATATCAAGTATCTCTATTAAGCATTAGAGGTAGATCTGTCAGTCTCCAAAAATAATGTTCGGGCCAGGCTCAGTGGCTCAGACTGTAATCCCAGCACTTTGGAAGGCCAAGGCAAGTGGATTGCCTGAGTCTGCGGGTTCAAGACCAGCCCAGGCAAATTAGCGAAACCTCATCTCCACAATAAATCAAAAATCAGCCGGGTGTGGTCGCGCATGCCTGTATTTCCAGCTACCTGGAAGGCTGAGGCGGAAGAATTGCCAGAGCCCAGCAGGTCGACGCTGGGGTGGCCGTGAGTGTGCTACTGCACTTCAGGCTGGGTGATGGAGTGAGACTCCAACTCAAAAATAAAATAAAATAAAATAAAATGCTCTTTGTTTCCACTCTTGTAATATTATACCTATCATTTAACAAAAAGTTAATTAGCATGTAATATAAACTAAAGCATAAGAAAATCTTTTCCTGGTTAAAAAAGTTACAAAATTAAGTATTTTTTAAATGTTATAATATAGGAAATGGCAATCAGTTAAAATAAAGGTGCAACTATCGATACGTTTCCTGTCAATACCAATTTCTTTAAGAGGAAGCCAGTTAGCTTAATACTAATTCTAATGAATATGTAATACACATTCAATTACTTTGCAACTCCTAATTATATACTTCAAAAAACGTTAACAACTTGCTAGAAAATGCAAGCAAACACAAAGCTATTGATAGTAATTATGTAATAATATTGATTTACCTTCACTTGTAGCACGGGTTGAAATTCCCTCACAAGCTCCATTGAAGAGTCATATATGGAATTTCCAATTTTTATTGATTCTAAAAGTGGTACAGGACGAAAGTCGGTATGGTAGACTGCAGCATTCAACCAGGAAGCCACAAGCTCCAGATTAGGAAGGGTAGCACTCATGCCAACAATCTGCACAGCATTAGGCAGAGAACTGGCTAAATCTGCCTGGCTATGAAAAATAAATGAAAATGATCAATTTTCAAATGAACTCATAGTGCTGCTAACAATACTCTTGGTCACATCTTTTAGTACACATATGTATACAATTCTTTAGGGTATATGAGGGGGGGCCTTCCCATAAAAGCAGAAATATTTTTTGGAGGGTGGGCCCCTTGTAGTACAGGTTTTCTCCACTAGGTGAGTGATCTAGAAACCCACTGGCATCGGTGTACCAGCCAGCATTGTTGGAAGAGACTACATCTGGCTTCAGTGAATTTTTTTTTTAATTCTTTCAACACATTTGCCTATTTCATGATGGGTGATTTACAAGGGCACCTGCGCACATCACACCAAGTGTTCAGAAGTTTTTGACAAGAAAGGGCAAGACCCCCATGCCCTGCCCTCCCTATTCACTGGATCTCGCCCCAAGCAACATTTTCCTTTTTTTGGCTTCCCTGAATGACAAAAGTCCTCAAAGGGAAACACGTTGCCAAAGTGAAAGAGGTGAAACAAAAAAACGGCAGATTACACTCCCACCAACAGTGTAGAAGTGTTCCCTTTTTGCAGCATCCTCTCCAGCATCTGTTGTTTTCGAGTTATTGATGGTGATCATACTGACTGGAGTTAGGCAGTATCTATCTCCTTGTGGTTTTAATTTGCATTTATTTGATGACTAGTGAGGCAGAACTTTTTTTTATGTATCTGTCGGTTGCTCAGATGTCTTCTTTCGAGAAGTGTCTATTCATATCTTTTACCCACTTTGTAATGGGGCTGTTTGTTTTTTTCTTTCTATCACGTTTGAGTTCCTTGCAGATCCTACATGTTAGGCCTGTGTCAGATATACAGTTGGCAAATTTTTTTTTTTTTTTGAGTTGGAGTCTCACTCTGTCACCCAGACTAGAGTGCAGTGGCCGCTCCTGGCCACCGCAGCCTCGACCTGCTGGGCTCCGGCGATCCTTCTGCCTCAGCCTTCCAAGTAGCCGGAACTACAGGCACGCACTACCATGCCCGGCTAGTTTTTGATTTATTGTAGAGATGAGGTCTCCCCAAGTTGCCCAGGTGGGTCTCGAACCTGCAGGCTCAGGCAATCCACTTGCCTCGGCCTCCCAAAGTGCTGGAATTACAGGCTGAGCCACCGAGCCCGGCCGGGCAAATATTTTATAGCAGAGGGCAGAGCCAGGGTTGGTAGTAGTGGGAAACTGCCGGGGGGGGGGCACACCTCATCAACAAGGGTACCTGCATAATGAACATTTGTATACCTAACCCTGAATTGTATTCCACATATTTAAAATTAAAAATTTTTTTTAAAAAACCGGCAGAAGCACTAAACGGCATCCAAATTGACAAGTTCAAAAACCGTTTTGAGAAGTGGAAAAAGTTTCTTGATAGGTGTATTGCATCAAACAGAAAGTACTTTGAAGGTGACTAAAGTTTAAACATGTAAGAATAAATACACAATTTTTTATAAATAAATTCTGGGTTTTTGGGGTTCCCCTTGTACATCTAGGAATAAAATTACTGGGTCAAAGTTTCCTGAGTCACAGATTACCTTCAACCTTTTTTTTTTTGAAGTCTCACTCTGTCACCCAGGCTGGAGTACAGTGGCATATCCATGGCCACCACAGTCTCGACCTGCTGGGCTCAGGTGATCCTTCCACCTCAGCCTTCCAAGAAGCTAGAACTACAGGCCCACGCCACCACACCCCACTAATTTTTTATTTATTGTAGAGATGAGGTCTCACCAAGTTGCCCAGACTGTTCTCAAACCTGCAGGCTCAGGCATTTCTCTCATTTCTGCCTCCCAAAGTGCCGGGATTATAGGCGTGAGCCACTGCACCAGCCTTTAATTTTAATAAATAATGCCACACTGTTTTCCAAAGTAACATCTCCACAATCTGTATGTGTTCTATTGTTCCACAATCATGTCACTACTTGGTATTGTCAAACTTTTTAATGTTAGCCATTATGAAGAACGTATGGCAATATCTCTTTGAAGTGATTATTTACAATTCCCTGATTGCTAATGAGATTGAGCATCGTTTCATGATTACAGACCATGTGGACATCCCCTCACAAAAGGCTCTTCAAGTTTCTTACCCACTGATATACTGGGCTATTTGTGTATTTCTTATTCATTTGTGAAATTTCTTTTATGTTCTGGATAATGACTTTCTTCTTTAAGTTTTGCTCCATTTCAAGCATTTCCTTCTACTTTCTGTGGCATTACTTTACTATTCTTTTTCTAAGTTCTTAAGATGAATAATTAAAATAACTGATTGGCCGGGAATGGTGGCTCATGCCTATAATCCCAGCACTTTGGGAGGTAAAGGCAAGAGGATTGCCTGAGCCCAGGGGTTCAAGAAAAGCCTAGGCAACTTGATGAGACCTCATCCCTACCATAAATCAAAAAATTAGCCGGGCATGGCAGCACGTGTCTGCAGTTCCAGCTACTTGGAAGGCTGAGACAGCAGGATCACCTGAGCTCAGCAGGTTGAGGCTGTAGTGGCCAAGAGTGTGCCACTGCCTCCAACCTGGACAATGGAGTGAGACTCCAATTCAAATAAATAACTAAATAAACAAATAAATAAATGTATTACATTCCCTATTTATTTATTTTTATACTTATGCTTTTTTCTCTTTTTTTATTATGTACTTTTGCAGATACTTTCTCAGCATCATTTGAAATCTCAGGAATTTAGTTATTCCAGGTACTCACCAAAATGCTGATTTCTGAGTAATATAACAAATCTTGGTCAACAAAAGTTCCAGCAGATACCCTCGGTGAGAGTCTCCCAGCATATGTAATTCATCCACAACTACCATTCCTAAAAAGATTTTCCACATACTAGGTTTTACAAAATTTCACAATTTTAAGTACTTTAAAAGACTCAAAATTTTACATCATACAATAAATAGCTGCCATTACAATATTTTGCATCATATTACAATATGATGCAAATTTCAAACCACAAAACAAAAATCAGATGACACATAACGGGCAACTCTTTTCCAAGATGTTTTAGGTATCATAAGCTGTCCTACTACAATATATTCTGGATCTAAAAATCAATAATTCACTTACTCCATGCTAGCCAAACCCAGAGAAAGCTGTCTCTCATTACTCAGATGCTTCTAAATAAGGAATCTTATTGAAATAAACATACAATGAAATATTAAAGACACTTATGTCAGTTATTCAGTACATTAACTTTTCAGTGGGGAAAAAACCATATTCATACTAGAAACCTGCTTTTAAAAAAACAGAATCAAGAGGGATTTTTAGACTTTCTGTGGTAGGCTAGTGAGTCACCCTACTGCAAAACATAAACATGATCATAATGGCCTTCATTACAGAGAAAAATTAACCAATCTAATATACTTGAAATAATGCTGAGGAATTACTGAAAATTCAGTATCAACTAATACCTTCTCTAGATAAGCATTTTCATAACGTCATAGTTTCCAGATTTACTAGTATCCTTCCTCACAAATTCTCCCCACCAAAATCAATACCTTTCAGATAACCTCCTAATGACACATGATGCTCGTTGTCCTTATCAGTAAGCTACCTCCAAATCAGAATAAGTTATTTCAGTATTTATGTATTCATTCATTCACAAAAAAATTTTTTATTCCACCTATAGTATACCAAGGCTCAATGTCTTGGACATAACATTGATTCTATTGCAACCCCCAAGGTATTTAAAGTCCAATGAGGTCACAAGTAATAAGGCAATTCTGATATAAACCAATTGTGATTTCTCTCTCCAAGCTTTATAGAGCAGATCCCATGTTTTATTAGTCTTTTTTAATTTTTAATTTTAATTTTTTTGTATAAACGAGGTTTTGCTATGATGCCTAGGCTGGTTTTGAACTCCTGGGCTCAGTCTTATTAACCTTTGATTCTCACCCTCCACCTCACCCCATCATAAATTCACCATGATATTTTTAAGTTCACCAGGTTCTCAACTAAGTAAGTTGATATTCTTGCTACTTCTGCTGCCACTGCAACCACTCTATTCCTATTGTTACCTCTACATAATGATCTTTTCTTAATGGTAAAAAAATGCATTAAGGCAGAAAATCTTCTCAGAGCACCAAGCTCAAATACAATATCAGTTTCTGTAGCTCCCTGCCATTTCCATGCTAAATGGTAGCTTCTGGGTCCAGGCCTAATATACACATCATAGCACCAGAATATGATAATGAATATACATATATACTAATTACAGAGATGGCAGATCCAGCCCCATCATATGCTTCCTTCTATTCCTGGTAAAGTTTATATAGGAAAGAAGCAATGAGAAATGATTAAGGGCTCAAGAATACCCTCTATGTTTTTTAAAGTACAAAAATGCAAAGTAGTGAAGTCAGTAGAACACAAAACTTTTGCACATGAAGTCCCTAACGTTACAGATACCAATTCTTACCTCAAAAGTAGATGACAGACAACAGAAAAACAAATGGGAAATAAAGAAATCACAACACCCCGACTTCATTCCATCAAAAATAGCAATAGAAAGTATTTGCTTATTTTCTAATTTTCTTACCTAACAGATCCATCTTATTTTCCTCTATGAGGCGATTGATCAGACCATTGGCTCTTTCAATTGTGCAGACTGCAACATCCAAGGAAGAAAAATGCCCTGTTGGGGAGGTACTGCCCATATAACCATCTACTTTTATTCCTACTTCCTGAAATAGACTCTGAATTGAGTAAAAGGAAAAATACAGGTGAAAAAAACTGAAATTAATGAACTATAGATGGATTTACATTATTTTAATAATTGTAAATATTTAAAGACCTCCACCAGATTACTGTCAATTACTCCTGACAAGGACACACTGTTCTTTTTAGAATCATATACTAAAAATATAAGGTTTAGAATTGACAAAAGAGATCTCTGTTAAGACAGAATCAAATAAAATCATGTCATTTTAATGACAGTATTTAGTAATCTAAAAAATTCTAAGAGCTATTTATAGAAATTAAAATTGGAGAAAAGCTACCTTAACCATGAACATTTTAAATCTAATAAACAGCAAGAAACTAGCTATTTTTTAACATTAATATACTACTTTAAGAAACAAATTTATACTTCATGAGAAATACTCATCATCCCACTAATGACCAGTTTTTTTATGTAATGGAAGAAAAATTTTTTTAAGTCAAATTCAATGGGACTTTGGTCTTTTGTTTTTTGGGGGATTTTTTAGTTTAACTTTTAACTGACATACCTTCTCAATAAAAAGGATCCTTTCATCATTTTGCTACTTTGGGTCTAAGTTGAGAGATGTTACCATGTAGGACCAGCTCTGCTGGCTATTTGTCCTCTGAAATAACTGTTAAAAAGATTTATAGAACCATAGAATTTTAGAGCTATTCATTCAATAAAATTTTCCTGAGTGTTTACTGAGTTAACCCACAGTGCTGGTTAACATCCTCATTTTACAAACGAAAAAACTAAGGCCCAGCAGGTTATGGGCCTAGACTGAAGACATAGTAGCAAAACTGGGACTAGAACCCAAGTTTTCTGAACTATCAGTACCATAATCTTTCCATTCCAACAGAATATTTTTTTCACCGCAGAAATTACAATAGTAAATTTATTTCATAAAACACTGCATTTGTGAAAATGCCTTAAAAACTAGTATCATATCAATGTAAACTACTGTTATTCATTTTTGCAGATCAGAGGAACAGACCACAGACCTGGAGCTTCATATAAGCACTAACAGATCTTGTCCTTCATCCTCTAAATATTTCTAAATTGTCCTCAATTAGGATGGGATATGCTTCCTTAAACACTCTTCCCTTTTATGCTTCAGTCTAGTTCTACTATTCAGTTAGAATGATTATTCTTAATTTACATGTTTATGCTGGGCGCTGTGGCTCACGCCTGTGGCCCCAGCACTTTGGCACAGAGGCAAGAGGACTGCTTGAACCCAGGGGTTCAAGACCAGCCTGGGCAACTTGACAAGACCACATCTCTATAATAAAAAAAAATTAGCCAGGCTTGGTGGCCCATGCCTGTAGACCCAGCTACTTGGAAAGTTGAAGCGTAAGGATCACCTGAGCCCAGTGGGCTAAGGCTGTGGTGGCCATGAGTGTGCTACTGCACTCCAGCCTGGGTGACAGTGAGACTCCTATTAAAAAAAAAAAAAATTTTTGCATGTTTACTTGTATATGCTAATTGAAGTATTCTGTTTATTAAAGAAAGGTTTACAAATTTTTACACAATTTTCACCATACTCTTTTCATGGCCCTTTCTCCTCTACGCAATAATTTTTTAAAGTTTCTTTCTGTAAACTTTTAATCATCTAACTGTCAACTTAAAATCAAAGAAACTTTGCTTTCCACTTGCTTTTATAATTCTATCTCAAATGAATAAAATAAAACCAAGGCTAGACCTTTTATTATTTCAAACTTAGTACAAGAACATTACCTGGAGATAATATTTCTTCTCTTTAGCCACAGAAACAAAGGGAAGAATAAACAAAGCTTTCTTCCGCATTTCCAAAACCCGTTTCAAAATAAGTAATTCTGCCACAAGAGTCTTCCCAGCACTTGTAGGAGCTAAAACATGATTATTCCACAAGGTTAAAACAAAAGAAGTAGTACTTAGTACACTGCACTAATAAATGTTTTAAGCCATATCCTGCACTACAGAGGCTAAGTCTAACCTATCAGTAAGGCCTTAACTAGCATTTGAAACCTTTATACTCTGAAATGCACCTTTTTTAAACCAGCAGCCTAAATAGTCTCACACTAAAAATAGACATAAACAAATCTTTATATCAGCAATAAATGATGAGTATTATTATACCAGAAGATTCTTTACTTTAAGTACCACATGGTTCAAAGCTTCGCTTTGAGGAAATAAACAACTTTAATATATTGTGATAGGAATTATGATAGACCTTGAGGGAGAAGACTGCAAGGAAGCTTATGAAAAGGAAATAGAACTTACAAGAAGGAAGGAAGAAAAAGGGAAGGCCAAGCATAAGAAACAGCATGTGGAAAGGACTACAGGAAAGCGTGCCATGTTCAAATGACAGTAAGTGATTTAGTAAGCCAGAGTATAACATACTCCAGGGGAGCAAAAGAAGAGATATGAAAGTACCACACAAGTTGGGCACAGTGGCTCACACCTGAAATCTCAGTACTTTGGGAGGCAGAGGAGAGGGGATTGCCTGAGTCCAGGGGTTTGAGACAAGGCTGGCCAACTTGGCAAGACCTCATCTCTACAATAAATCAAAAAATTAGCCAGGTGTAGTGGTGCACACCTGTGAATCCAGGTACTTGGAAGGTGAGGTGGAAGAATCGCCTTGAGCACAGCAAGTCAAGGCTGCAGTGGCCACGAGCGTGCCACTGCACTCCAACCTGGATGACAGGGAGACTCCAACTCAAAAAACAAAGTACCACGTGAAGAAGTGAAGAAGGACTTATAATCCCACAAGCTAAGGAATTTAGACTTGCTCTGAAAGCACAGCAGAGTGACTGATAAGTTTCATGAAAGAGAGTGACGAGATCATATATGTACTTAGTATTATATATATACTTTATAAAGATCACATTGGCTGCAGAAACTGGGCAATAGCAGAGGAAACAGATAAATTAATTACAAAAAAATTAAAATCAAGGCCAGGAGCAGTGGCTTAAGCCTGTAACCCTAGCACTTTGGGAGGCAGAGGCAAGAGGATTGCCTGAGCTCAGGGGTTCAAGACCAGCCTGAGCAACTTGGCAAGACCTTGTCTCTACAATAAATCAAAAAATTAGCCAGGCATGGTAGCATGCGCCTATAGTTTCCAGCTACTTGGAAGGCTGAGGCAGAAGGATCACCTGAGCCCAGCAGGTCAAGGCTATGGTGGCTATGAGTGTGCCACTGCCCCCCAGCCTGGGCAACAGAGTGAGACTCCAACTCAAAAAAAAATTAAAGTTAAGATAAACAAAAAAAAAAAATCTTTAAGATAAACTAGTTAGGCACAGTGGCTCATGCCTATGATCCCAGCATTTTGGAAGGCCAAGGTGAGAGGATAGCCTGAGCCCACAGGTTCAAGACCAGCCTGGGCAAATTGGCAAGACCTCATCTCTACAATAAAATCAAAAATTAGCTGGGCGTGGTGGCACATGCCTGTAGTTCCAGCTACTTGGAAGGCTGAGGTGGAGGGATCACCTGAGCCCAGCAGGTTGAGGCTGCAGTGGCCATGAGCGTGCCACTGCACTCCAGCCTGGGCAACAGAGTAAGACTCCAACTAAAATAAAATTTTTTTTAAAAGGTCAGGCCAATCTGACACTGCCACTACCACTAGTCAGCATTTATGAGTACTTTCTAGGTGCCAAAAACTGTTCTAAGCTCTTACACATAAGAAATAATGCAATCCTCCCTAAGTACTACACCAGGCTTGCATGTCCATACACGCGCACACAAACACACACACACACACATACACACACACTCATTCTCTTTCTCTCTCAGTCATTTGCAAGGTTGCACAACCAGTAAGTGGTAGTTTTCAAATTCAATCAGTCTAATTCAATAGCCTGAATTAATCTACTGATAAGATAATTCTTGCATGTTTGTTGCAGCTCTAGTCACAACAGCAAAAACATGGAACCAACCATGCTGCCCATCAAAATTGGACTGGATTTAAAAAAATGTGGTACATATACACAATGGAATATTATGCAGCCATAAAGATGGACAAACATATGGACTTTGCAGCAACTTGGATGGATTTACAGTCTGCCATACTCAGTGATCTTCACAGAAAAAAAGAACAGAGTACCATATGTTCTCATTCAGAAGCAGACATTGAACAATTATCATAATATTATAAGAAAGGGATTGGCAGTAATGGGAAACTGCCAGGGGAGGAAGGGGCATACCTCACCAACAAAGGTACCTGCATAATGAATACTTTTGTACCCTAAACCTGAATTGTACCCCACATCTTTACAATAAAAATTAATTAATTAAAAATAAAAAAGACACCTCAAAAACAAAAAAGAGATAATTTTAATTATTTTTTTCCAGTCATAATGAAAAATCTGGATGACACAATTTCAGAGAAAACTAACACAAAGGACTTGCATTTTACCAAATGATTACAGTCAGTGTAGTAAGCACTACAATATTGTGTATGTCATAGTTGCCCTTGAAAACCCATATAGATCTTCTATAAAATTACCTGCTACTATCTTACAGAGGAAAAAACTTCTATAAATTATATTACATATGGCATGTATATCCAACCCTGTATAAGGTCAATTTATAAACATATAATAATGTTCATACCCTGAAAAGTAACTGAGCTCAAATGAGGGAAGAGCATATTTATATTTCCCATCGCACACTCACTCTGGGGTATTCATTTGTTGAGCAGGATGGCAGGCAGAATTATTCACTTACATTTTTTTTCTTCTCCTCTGTCACCCAGGCTAGAGTGCAGTAGCACACTCACGGCCACCACAGCCTCAACCTGCTGACCTCAGGCCATCCTTCCACCTTAGCTTTCCAAGTAGTTGGAACTACAGGTGTGTATCACCAGGCCGAGATAATTTTTTGATTTATTGTAGAGATGAAGTCTCACCAAGTTGCCCAAGCTGGTCTCGAACCCCTAGGCTCAGGCAATCCTCTTGCCTCCACCCCTAAAGTGCTGGGATTACAGGCATGAGCCACCACTCCCAGCTACTCACTTTTTATATATATATATATATTTTATTTTTAAAATGTGGGATACAATTCAGGATTAGTTATACATCATACAGGTAAAGTTTGGGCCTCTCTTTTGTCCCCACTGCATGCTTTGAGATCAGGTACCCTTATTGATGCTATGTGCCACCCCCACCCCCCATCCCAGCAGTATCCCACTACTGCTAATTCCTTTTGTATAGTATTATGGCAAATGTAGAGGGTCCGCTTATCAGTGAGAACATGTGGTACTCAGTTCATTGTTTCTGTACTCACTCCTTAAATTGTAAGTTTTCTTGCTTTTCCCCCACAGTCATATAATGAAACTTTTACAAATATATTTATGATAAAATACCACTCTTCATATATATGTTAAGACTATTTCTAGTTATAAAGCATTGTCTCATTCTCCTTTTAAAAGAACCTTAACTACCTCAATAGAATATTCTTTACATTCATAATATCTTTTAAATAGTAGAGAAAGTAGTTTGCGTAAATCTGAATACCTGAATAAACCAAATTCTTTCCTTCCAGGACTTGTTCAAGCAAAAGGCATTCTGCCTGCCATTCAAACATCTTTTTTACACCAAAACTGTGATATTTCTCCAGAACTGCTTTAGGAAGTCCCCAATTTGCCAATAGCAGCGTGTCTATGTGATCGTCAGGAACTGTTTGTTTGCATTCTCCTTTCAGGAAAAAAAAAAGGTAATTAATAATGTATTTCTAATATATGATTTTAATAGCCCTCCACTGTGTGTTGGAATTAAGCTATTTAAAGCACATCTTGACTTCAAGAGGCTTGTGAGAAACTGATCATGTATAGAAAAGTAATAGTAAATTATTTCCTGGAGCTGGGCTTGGTGGCTCAGCCTGTAATCCCGCGCCTTTGGGAGGCTGAGGTGAGTGGATTGCCTGAGCCTGCGGGTTCGAGACCCGCCTGGGCAGCGAGACGTCATCTCTACAATAAATCAAAAATCAGCCGGGCGTGGTAGCGCATGCCTGTAATTCCGGCTACTTGGAAGGCTGAGGCCGGAAGGATCGCCGGAGCCCAGCAGGTCGAGGCTGCAGTGGCCGGGAGCGACCACTGCACTCTAGTCTGGGCGACTGAGTGAGACTCCAACTCAAAAAACAACAACAACAACAAAGTAATTCTGCAACACGAGTCTTCCCAGCACTTGGAGGAGCAAAACACATGACTATTCCACATGATTAAAACAAAAGAATATTAGGTACACTGCACTAACAAATGGTTTAAGCCATATCTAGTACTGCAGAGGCTAACCTAACAGCAAGGCCACAACTAGCATTTGAAACCTTTATACTCTGAAAGGCCCCTTTAAACCAGCTGTGAAGATCAAACGACCCACTTGAACGTTGACACCAGGCGGTCACTGAAAGCTCGCCTATGTCTGAACATAAAGTAACCTCCCGCACCAGGCCCCCCGAGTCACAGAGAAGGGGAGAAGGCCAGTGGGGTAAGCAAAAAAGCAAGCTCCGCGCGACGAGGACACCACGCGACCCTCGCCCGCTGCCTCCAGGGTGCCCGGGAGTACCTGCGGCTGCCGCCGACTGACAGCCACGGTCCTTCAGGCAGCGTCCCAGGCCCGGGGGCGGGCTCAGCACCGACCCCGAGAGGATCTGAGGGCTGGCACTGCTGTCACCGCCGCTTTCCGAAAACGAGTCTGAGACTGATGAACGCCGCCGTTTCCCACTCCGACGCGGAAGATTCATTGCAAAGTCTTACGGGCTGTTCAAGGTAAGTCACAGTCCCAGCGTCAGCCCCCTCGGGAGAAGCCCGGCCTCATGACAGGTGCTGGCCATCATCTTCCCGCCGATCTTCAAAGCCCGGCTTTCCCAGCATGCCCCAGAACCATAGAGTTCTCAGTGGCTAGAGTTACCCGAAATAAACCATAGAACCGTGGGAAAGGAGCGGCTCTCGCCGGTGTCTCAGACTTCCGGCCTCCGACCCCAGGCCGCCTTCCTCCTGCCTCCGTTGTTGGTTATGTGATCGGACGAGTTGGACCTAGATTAAAGGAGGAAAAATACAGAATCTACACTTACGATCTGAGTTTATAATCAAACTGACTTAAAATTTTTTTCTTCTATTATTGTCCATTTCTGGTTTGAATAGGAAGGACACGCTAACTTCAGAAACGAGCGTAATAAGTAGATCGGGGAAGTAGCTCTTCCTAACATATTGGTATTAAAAAAAAGTCAGATTGTGTGTACAAAGCATTATACAAGATAACCCAGGATTTCCAACGGAGCATAATTTGCCCCCTCTCCTAGTGAATGAGATAGGGCAGGGGCTATTTCTGAAGGCATTTTCCATTTTAGCTGTCATATACTGAGACGTAACGCGATGAGGAGCTGGGGCTTGCTGGCCGACAGACCCCTTGAACAGCTGTATGGACGCTGCCTGGAAGGGGCTCTCAATGTATCGTGCTCTGCCTTTCAGTAAGGTATTGATAGAAGCAAACGAGTTCTGGACGTGAAGCGGCGACCGTCCGTTACCGAAGTTGCACAATTCACCAACCTAATAGGCGACAGGCCTGTCCTGAAGAGGCTGTGCTATTCTAGAGCACTAAAAAGCTCAAAGAGCTAGTCCAATTTTTTTAAGACTCTTAGTCGGAAAATAGCACTTGAACATCAATTCTTTGGTGAAAAATCTACCTTAGGCGTTTTTTTGTTTGTTTTTTTGTTTGTTTGTTTGGTGATTTAAATGACAATATTCTAAAGTTCCACAAGATGGAGACGTTGCTCCATGAAGAAAACGTTTTTTCTTCATCTTTTATGCATTCATTCATTCAACAATTTATTAAGCATCTAGGGTATGCTAGGCACTGAACATACGTCTGTGGAATGGCATAAAATGGCATGAAATGATTCCTGCTCTCAAAGAGAAAGAGTCTAGATAAGGAGATAGACATTAAACAAATAAATTAACGAATAATTTTAAATTGTGACTTATGCTCAGGCAAAAAATGAGGAGAATGCTAGCAAAGAAATATTAATAAAAGGGATCCTGGCCAGGTGCAGTGACTCATGCCTGTAATCCCAGCACTTTGGGAGGTCAAGGCAAGAGAGTGGCTTGAGCCCAGGAGTTTGACCAGCCTGAGCAACATAGTGAGACCTTGTCTCTACAAAAAGATCAAAATAAAACAATAAAAATAAAGGGATCTTAACTTAGTCATGAAAGAACTTTCTGAGATGCAGTATGATTTAGGGTTTACAGTGTAACTGGAGTCAGCCAGTCTAGGTTTGAAGACTTAATAGCTGTGTAATCTTGGGCAACTTGCTTGATCCCTTTATGGCTCCCTTTCCTCATCTATGTGATGGGAGTAATAATAGAAATAACTAATTTGGTTATTTTGAGAACCAAATAAGCCAATATGTTCAAAGTGCTTAGAACAGTGCTGGAATGTAATAAGTTTCATTCAGAGAAAATGATATTTAGATGTTCTAATATAGCTCCCAATATAAATTCACATTTTAATAAGAAAAGAGTAAACTAGAAAAAAATCTTACAAAGTTTTATTCTATTTTTATTAGGTGAGCTATGATCAAATGAGAAAAAATAACTAGGAAGGAACCGAAATGAATGGTTCATGTCAATCTACTAAAAACCTAGAGAATATTTTAAAATTCACAACTTATTTCAATGTTCAACATCTGTTCCTAATTTTTTTTTTAAATGACTGAAAATAGAGAAAAGGACTGGGTGTGGTGGCTCAAGCCTGTAATCCCAGCACTTTGGGAGGTCAAGGCAAGAGGATTGCCTGAGCTCAGGGATTTGAGGTCAGCCTGGGCAACTTGGTGATACCTCATCTCTATAATAAATCAAAAAATAAGATGGGCATAGTAACACATGCCTATAGTTCCAGCTACTTGGAAGGCTGAGGCAGAAGAATCACCTGAACCCAGCAGGTGTAGACTGCGTTGGCCATGAGCGTGCCACTGCACTCCAGCCCGGGCTACAAAATGAGATTCCAACTCAAAAAAAAGAAAGAAAGAAAATAAAGAGAAGGCTACTTCTCAAAAATATAAAAGAATCTGTATGCCAACAATTATCACAACAGTTAAAGTTAAAACACCGAGCCGGGCTCGGTGGCTCAGCTTGTAATCCTGCGCCTTTGGGAGGCTGAGGTGAGTGGATTGCCTGAGCCCACGGGTTCGAGACCCGCCTGGGCAGCGAGATCTCATCTCTACAAAAAATAAAAAAAAAACAGCTGGGCGTGGTAGCGCATGCCTGTAATTTCAGCTACTTGGAAGGCTGAGGCGGAAGGATCGCGGGAGCCCAGCAGGTCAAGGCTGCGGTGGCCGGGAGCGGCCACTGCACTCCAGTCTGGGCGACAGAGTGAGACTCTAACTCAAAACAAAAACAAAAAAAAACCAAAGTTAAAACACCGGAAGTATTTCCCATCTGGTTTTGTTTTGTTTTGTTTTTCTTTGCGTCAGCGTCTCATTTTTGTTGCCCAGGCTGGAATGCAGTGGCACGATCACAGCTCACTACAGCCTCAACTTCCTGGACTCAGATGATCCTTTTGCCTCAGTCACCTGAGTAGATGAAACTACCAGTATGTGCCACAATGCCTGGCTAATTTTTTTATTTCTTTTAGAGACAAGGTCTTGCTATGTAGCTAGGCTGATCTCGAACTCCTGGACTCAAGCAATCCTTCCACATCGGCTTCCCAAAGTGCTGGGATTACAGGCATGAGCCTCCACACCTGACCCACCTGTCTTTTAATTATGTCTAAGTTTGTGTTCCTTGGAATTTCATGCATGATAATCCTTCAAGGTCTGAGTAAAGCCCTCCAAATAAAAGTTCCACATACTTCCGACAGTTACCTAGGAGACATACCAATTCTGGATCACTTTAAACTTAATCTCTGGATTGGCTTTTTTTTTTTTTAATACAGAAGTAGTAGAATGACATTAGACACCCAGAGACAGGTTTGAACAGACTTGTATCCTCACAGTCTCAATCTGCAGAACAGATATTTCTCTGCTTTTCTTACTAAGAGTGTTGCCCTTCTGGGTTTTGGCTTTACGCAGAGGGTTTTAGATCTTACCTCTCGCTCTGCAAGGAACCTCAGACTCCTCTCCCCCACAACCCATAATCCATAAAAACCCACTCTCAAGACCCTCAGGGACCAGCAGACATCACTATGGAAAATTTTAGGTCTAGTGCTTTTCTCACTCCTCTGAAATGTGTTGATATGATATTTCTGTCCTAAAAGGAATTTCCTGACTTTAACCAGCTGAGTCATGAATTTTAAAAGATTTTTTATTTTAACATTTAGAATTTTTTGGAAAGGATGCCATACTAGAAGTGGTTTCTTTTTTCAGCCTGATATTTCTAAGAACAGAAGCAAAGGACACTCAGATAACAATAACTGATGTACTTCAAAAACATCATCTGATTATTTTTAGTAAATTCACATAAATAATCAAACATGACTTTTTTCATTGAAATTTCAGAGGTTATATGGAAAAATAAAAGTTACTCAAACTACATTTGTGAGTCAACTAAAACAGAGTCGTCTACCCTGATGATGTTCATCCACCCAAACTGAATACTCTGTGCTTCTCACATGAGTGATGATTGGTGCAGAGGGGCAAAAAACCAAGAACTGGAAGACATACAAAAATTGTGGAATGAGAGTGGTGCTGGCTAGGTTTAAGATGCTCAGCATACAGGAGATGTTAATTAAGAGGACTGTGTGTGAAATCTAGTGGTTGTCAACTGATAAACAAGTCCAGAGGCTACACATTAGAATCCCCTGGGGAGCTTTTAAAATAGTATCCCAGGCAGGGCTCAGTGGCTCAGGCTGTAATCCCAGCGCTTGGGAGGCTGAGGTGAGTGGATTGCCTGAGCCCGCGGGTTCAAGACCTGCCTGGGCAACTTGGTGAGACCTCATCTCTACAATAAATCAAAACTTAACCAGGCGTGGTAGCGCGTGCCTGTAGTTCCAGCTACTTGGAAGGCTGAGGCAGAAGAATCGATGGAGCCTAACAGATCGAGGCTGCAGCAGCCACTACACTCTAATCTGGGTGACCAAGTGAGACTCCAACTCAAACTAAAAAAAAAAACAACAACAAAATGGTATCCTACTTCATTTTTGTTTGTTTTGAGTGGGAGTCCAGGCTGGAGTATTGTGGCACACTCATGGCCACCACAGCCTTGACCTGCTGGACTCAGGGGATCCTTCCACCTCAGCCGTCCAAGTAGCTGGAACCACAGGTGTGTGCCACCTTGCCCAGTTAATTTTTTTATTTATTGTAGAGATGGGGGTCTCACCAAGTTGCCCAGGCTGGTCTCGAACCCCTGGGCTCAGGCAAACCTCTTGCCTCCACCTCCCAAAGTACTGGGATTACAGACGTCAGCTACCACGCCCAGCTATATTATCCTACTTCTAAAGATTCTCCCTCTAGGTACTCATACCTCTTAAAATCTCTGCAGGTATTCTAACATGCTGCTGGTATTGAGAGCCACTGGTGCAGTCCCAGGGATGAAGCCAACTTGAATTCGGGTGGTTTGAGTGAGAAAATTTTAATAACAGGTTTAAGTTAACAAGTGATCCTGAAAAAGACCTATTTATCCACAATGACCCAAAGAACTCATAGAAATAGCTTATTTGCGGATAGGGATGAAAGCAAAATTGAAATAACGTCAAAGGTCATGGTTAAAACATCAGAAAGCCAACATGAAGGTGGTAAAAAACTAAAGAGTGAATTGCTGAAAAAAGACTAAATTAATTGAATATATTAGAATACAAAACTGTAACTTCCAAATTCATATGTAGGCTTGTCTTAGCTGTTACCTGAATTTAGAACTTAAATACCTTAGACTGGGTAATTTGTAAACAACAGAAATTTATTGTTCAATGTTCTGTAGACTGGGAAGTCCAAGATCAAGATGCCAGCACATTCAAGGTCTGGTGAGGGCCTATTCTTCAAAAACAGACCTTCTAGCAGGACACCCCTCCTCCAGGCGCCATACTATGATCTGGTGTGGGGAGCCCCCGTCCCAGGACAAAAAAAAAGAAGCAAAAAGTCTTTTTTTTTTTAAATAACCCTTCTAGCCAGGTGCGATGGCTCACGCCTGTAATCCCAACACTTTGGGAGGCCGAGGTGAGATGATTGCCTGAGCCCAGGGGTTCAAGACCACCCTGGGCAACTTAGCGAGACCTTATCTCTACAGTAAATCAAAAAATTAGCTGGACGTGGTGGCTCGTGACTGTAGTTCCAGCTACTTGGAAGGCTGAAGTGGAAGGATTGCCTGAGCCCAGCAGGTTGAGGCCACGGTGGCCATGAGCATGCCACCGCATTCCAGCCTGGACAACAGAGTGAGACTCTGACTCAAGAAAAAAAAATGGCCCTTCTAGCTATGTCTTCACATGGCAGAAGGGTCAAACAAACTCCCTCAGGCCTCTT